CACTCCTTCTCTAAGTCTAGACCCTAGAGAGGGAGAGCCTAGGGCTGCTTCCTCTGCTAGCCAAGGCCTGCCGCTGAGGCATGATGACTGATAACTGAAACATCTACTTCCCCTAGGACTATTGTCTGACCTTGCAGGTCAAACCGGTTTTCTTGTTTCACTTCAGTGCGTTCAACTCTATTCCCATCCCCTTCATACCAGAAATCCACTTGTACAGTGGCCACACAGTATTCATTTGGTTACAGAAAGAGAGACTAATGTCGTTACATCATCTAGAAACCAACTGGACACTCCCAGAACTCTACCATAGCCAATGACAGTCACAATCCGTACGTGATTCCACGGTAATCCAGAATGCACCAGAAAGACCCCAACATGTTGCCATCAGTTGATTGCAGCTCACAGTGACCCCATGTGGGTATGTGTGGAACGCCGGCCTGGGGAGGGAGCATCAGAGTTCCAAAGCGTGACCTTTTGAAAGCACATCACTATGCTTACTTTCTGTGGGGTCTCTGGGTGGGTTTGAACTACCAATCACTTAGTAGTCAAGTGCCTAGACGTTGGCACCACTCAGGGCTATGAATCCCCATCAATGAATTTAATTTTAGAAATGGACGAGTTTAGTCATTTGAGTCATCACCATACACAGCAATCACCTATTCTGGGGAATTGAAAATTATTTTTGCTAAATAAGAATTAAACTGCAAAATATAAATACATTAAAAAAAAAAGAATTAAACTGCAAAGGCTATGGATGACAGTGGAAGCCCCAAATCCATATGCAACATCCACACATGAATGAAGCCTCCAGTGAGTCCCACTGAACTTAGTCCAGCACTGTGAGTAACCTTGCTAACACGTTTTATTATGCTAGATTACATTATGATTTCCAGACCCAGAGATTTGCAAAGTCAATTAGGCAGATGTAGTTAGATTAAAATGTAATACCTTATCCTGTGTCTCCCTTTGGGACCATTTTACAGTTGATTCAGTTGTGAATATTTTCCACTTTCCATTGAGGTTTTTCTTTGTCTAATCATTGTTGTTGGTTTTGTTTGTGTACTTATTGTTTGTTTTATTTTACTTTCTGTATATGAAATCCAGGATAGGTAAATCTATAGATGCAGTTAACGGGGTTAATAATTACCTGGGGTCATAACAGGGAGAATGGGGGAATATGGAGAGCCAATAACAAGTACAAGAAGAAAAGGTTTTGAAATGGATTGGGGTGATGACTGCACAACTCTTGTTAATATGATTAAATTGTATGACACGTTAAATATGGGGGGGCACCACCCCCAAAATGGAATTTTTTTCAAAACTATGTATTTAATATTTTTTTTTACAAAACAACCTTATCACCTTCAAAAAGTACTCTCCATTATACTTAGTACATTTGTCAAATCTGCGATTCCATTCTTGGAAACATTTTCAAACTCATCTGTTTGGATGGCTCATAGCACCTCTCTCATTTTTTTCTTCACCTCTTTTATGTGTAGTCAAATCTCTGTCCTTTCACGTTCCTCTTTATTCTTGGAAACAAAAAGAAGTCTCACAGTGTGAGGTCAGATGAGTAAGGTGCATGGGGCAAGAGAGGCATGCTGTTTTTTGTCAAAAACTGGCACACTGAGATGGTTGTATGAGCAGGTGCATTGTCGTGGTGGCAGAACCTGCCCCCATCTGCCACTACTCAGGCCTTTTTTGTCACAGACTGTTACACTATCTTTTCAGAACCTCTAAATAGAAAGCTTGACTAACAGTCTGGCCTGGTGGAATGAACTCCAAATGCACTATGAGTCAACAGTTTGACCCATTAGGAAAGTCGACAAATGTCCAGAACAAGGTTTGTCATCAATTGACATTTCACCTTTTTTGAATGAGAAAATCACTCATACACTTGAGTTTTTCCCCACAGCACTGTCCTTGTAAGCTCTGCTTAACATCACAACAGTTTCTGTGGCATTTTTCCTGAACAGGAAACAAAATTTCACAGCTTCATGCTGTTCTCTTACATCGGTCATCACAAAAAACGAGGTTTGAAAGAAACTGTTTTCACAAAAAAATTCACTGTAACCAGAGAGAACCTTTCCAGGCGACCACTGGGTGCACCAACTCAGAGCGAGTTGGCCTAGCAGGAAAACTGTGTGCTATGAAAGCTCTGCCCAGCGGAGCTTTTTCCCATTTTTTTTTTGGGGGGGGTCGTCCCTCGTATATGCCAATAAATTATTTTTAAAATAATTAAAATCCAGAGAAAGCACTTAAGAGGGATAATACTAACTAAATTTCACTCATTAAATATTGGCTTAATGTTTATGAACCTGTAGGATAACTTTCAAGTTGTCTCTCATGTCTGTCTTACTTAAGGATTCTGGTGGTTGCCAACTCCTCCATCTTTTCTCCTTATTCCGTTCATAGTGTTTCATTATTTTCATTCTGCTCTTCCTTCTGAGTCCCTGATGACTTCTGTAAGCACTGGCATTACATGGGACTGTGTCCTATACCCTCCCAGCACGACCCTCTCTTCTTGAGCAATGGTATTTACCACCTGGTTTTAGGTATACACTATAGTTATAAACCACCTCTTATCTGTCTGTTTTTTGTGCTGTGATGCAGGAAGCTAGGTCACTGGCATCTAAAATACCAGCAGGATCACCAGAGTGAACAGGTTTCAGCAGAGCTTCCAAACTAAACTATCAAGAATTCCTACATCTTCAGCCCTAATTTCTTCCAATTTCCTCATCAACATATCCAATATTCAGCTAACCCCCTGCTCTGCCAGGATGTGAAATAACCCCTTAAACAACAATCACATGAAGCTTGCTGTCATCCTTTCCAAACCTGCTCCTCTGTATAATTTTCTATTCTGGTTAATGAAATCACTATTCTTCCAGCCATCTAAGAAACCCACGAGTCCGCCCTTGACCCTCACATATCCTTCTCACTCCTGTCCATTTAAAATATGTGAGACATCTCTGTCATCCAGCCCATTGCTTCTATTCCCAAAGTAAATGCTGTGTTCTTGACTGGCATTTACCAACAGCACTTACTACAAGTTCTGCCTCTGTTCTCCCTCATTAACACTGGGGAGGACTTCTCAAAGGGCAAATCAGAGTTCATCTCCACACTCAAAACCTTGCAATGACTTGCTCATGTCTGTGTGATAAAGAAGACAAATGGTCTCTTTTTACATGGCATAGAAACACTTTTCATTTCCTGACTCGTTAATATTTTTTAATTTTCTCTGATTGCCTGCTGCAATCTTCCTATCCCACAAGCCACGCATTCCAGTTCACTTGACAGTCCGTGAACATGCTGTGCGTTTGCCTTCTTTCTGGCCTAAGTCACACTGTTTCCTCTTCCTCTTCCACAATATTCTCCTTGGACCTCACTCTCTTTCTTCAACTTGAAAATGCCAATTCATTCTGAGATGAATTTAAGTCTCCTTCCTCTGTGAAGCTTTCTTTTATTTTATCAAATAAAATAATTCACTCATTCTTTTAAATTCATTATATAATCCTTATTCGCTGCCATGAAGTCAAATCTGGCTTGTACTGACCCTATATGACAGGTAGAACCATCACCTGGGTGCTTACTGTAACTCTTTACGGGAGCAGATAGCCTCATTTCTCTCCCACAAACCACAGTATGATGTAATTGTGTACAGCTTTGCCTATGATATGAAACTTTTCAGCTGAAAGGGTTAAAATCATATTTATCTTTGTGTTTCTTCTGTGCTAAGCTTTAGTATTTCTAAACGTCCAATGGCTTATTGTCTGGATGAATGGCTAATGGTGGCTCTGTTACTTTTCCTTGCAGGGCAGTGGTAGTCTACGGTACAGGAACCTGGGTCAGATTCCCAGTCAATGCATCTTAAGTACAGCTAACATCTATTTATCAGTGGAGGCTGGCATGTTACTCTGATGCCAATCAGGTTTCAGTGAAGCTTCTAGACTACGTCAGAGAAGGAGAAAAAGGCCTGGTGCTCCACTTTTGCAAAGTCAGCCAGTGGAATCATTATGGATCACAATGATCTGACTCCCTTGTGTGTGGAGTTTCCACGAGTCAGGGGCCCACTCGACAGCGGCAGCTCACACCAGAAAACACGAGCGACATCAACCTTATGGTTATGATGTTACTCAGAAGACTTCTTGCTTATTGAGGTTTTTGGATATCCTTCTCATTTGACAGAGCCCAAAGTCTGATTTCTGGGTAAGCAAATTGCTTACTGGACTATGTACCTTTACTGTATTATTCTAACTGTGGTCTGCTTACTGGACTATGAACCTTTACTGTATTACTCTAACTGTGGTCTGCTTACTGGACTATGTACCTTTACTGTATTACTCTAACTGTGGTCTGCTTACTGGACTATGTACCTTTACTGTATTACTCTAACTGTGGTCAAAATGACGGAAACACACTTTTCCATTATGAGCTGTGTTCCTTGGAGTAAAGCCAAGTCATATGCGTTCCTTGACCAAGATATGACTTTTTCCTGATCAAGTATCCCTTTAAAATTTCCTACTTCCTCTTGCAATATTTTATTTATGTCTCAAATACATTTGGAATAGAGTTTAAAAATGTACCCGTTCTTTGCACGATTGCCAATATTTACTTTTCATATTAAAACACATACCAATATTGTTATGCTTGTGTTGTTTTATATATATTGTTACAATTCCTCTGAATTTTATCTTCATACTTAGTATACATTTTACCTGAAGATAGATTTGTGACGCAAACATTAAGTTAACTACATGGCAATTGTGGTTATAAGACAGTTGCTAATTTCCAATCTAGTGGCACAGTGGTGTTCTTTAAACTTAAGTCATTGATCTAGTTCGTGCCGGTCTGCACTCTCTCTGCTTTACAGGCCCCCCTCGGCGGTCAGAGCTGGAGTTTGTTTCCCTGCGGTGAAACGAATGTTTCTTATACTCCAAGCCCAATGTCAAAAGCAGACGCTTTTTGTATTCCTTTTCAAAACCATGAAGTTGCATTACCTGATTTGACTGTGATAACCGGAGGAGAGCCGGGAACTCGTCCTTGAACTCGTCTACCAGGTCCATGAGGACTTTCTGGAGCCCCTCGACTGAAACATAAATGAAAAGAAGTGGGAGGACAATGTTCTTCATTAGTCACCTGCCCTAGACGCCGTGGGCCACCAGGGGCACAAAAGCGACCTCCTGGAAGCCACAGGGGACATTATGCGCAGTTGTTTCCACACCCAAAACCCCTTTACAACAAAAATTGTGCATACTTTTTCCAGAAAAGTTCTTCAACACCTGCCCGCATATCCATCCAACAGGTTTGATGGGCATGATGAGTTCTGGCGTGGGTTCTGAGTGATTAGCAAGCCTAGAGGCCTGGGCCGTACTGGGCCAGCAATGCCATTTTGAGCTATAAAGGTAGCTCTCCTCATAGGAAAACTGGCCAGGTCAGAAGCTGCAGCTCAGAACCTGGTGGAATTCTTTGTTACTGCACAATGGGCCTCTGGGAGCTCATCACAGAATGTTCTGAAATGGCCCAGGCAGTGAGAGGAAGCGGAGTGAGGGTGGAGGTGTAAACAGAGGAGGAGGAGGAGGAGGATTGGACAATAAATGTTGAATTTCTTCCAAATTCTTCAGCAATACGTACCTCAGTTACGGGATCATCAGAGCACAAAGCTCTCTTGGAGGGTGCCTTGAAGAAAAGGCTGCCATGTGACACCACTAGAAAAGAAATACCAGCCGCTAACTCAGAATGACTTGCGAGCGTCTTTCTCCAGTGGGCGCAGCCCGGGCAACCTTGTGAAGTCTTGGGCGTGTCTTAT